GAATCCTAAAATAAGTCTCCTACGGAGCTCCGGTGCAACTAGTGTGAGTATGATTCGGGTTACATTGTTGAAAGTGATCGGTAGGTAAACAAGACCTTTTACAGGAAAATTCTTTCCTTCCGCAGTTTTTACTGAAACAGTTGTTGGGTGAATTTTTAATTTCAAAAACTTTATCAGGTTTTCAGATCCGGCTCCCAACACAGAACGTTGCGCACCACTATCTAAAAGCCCAAGAACTTCAACCCCTATTACGTTAACTTTGGCAAAAGGTCGGTCATCCCCCTGAACGTGAACAAAAATTTCGTCTACGCTGGGTTCAGTGACATAATCAGTATCGGATAGTGGCTCTAAACCGTATGCGGTCAATTCACTGCAAATTTGATTTATAGTGGGAGGACTTTCGAGGACATTATCAACTTGCCTCCTCAAGCTGATCCCTCGTAGTTTTTTTTGACAAAATGGGCAAGCACTAGTGAAAACATCCGAGAACCCACACAAACGACAAAATTTTCGCCTAAGTTCGGGACACTCTACGTAATGGTGTCCGTGTTTTCTACAATTGTAGCATGTTCCTATAGGTGGTCTTTGGTACTTGTGGACCAATGCTTGCATCGTACCTTTAGCAGATCCCTCCATAGGTTCCATTTTCCCCTCCTCTCTTTTCCCTTTCTCATTTCCTGCCTTTCCTTTCTGATATCCCAATTCCTCGCCTGAACCTTAAGGTTTTGTTTGATTATATTTACTATTGGTGAAAATTCGAGTATTATTTCCAGAGCTGCCAGCACTCTTCTGGTTTTTATTTTGATCTGATGTAATTTCGCTAATATGGTTATTGCGTGAGCGATTTGTGAGTTCAGACTGTTTTTGAATGAAACCAAAATTTACATCAATTCGCCTGCCATATTTCCGTAATTTGTTCAAGGACTTAATTCCTGCTCCTGTTAAAGCATTTTTGTAATCGTGACGCATATTACACCAGATTATATTAAATTTTCTCTTTTCAGATAGCTGTTTTGTCATCGACTTGTCATAATTTTTGTATCTCGTGAAAATAATCTGCGAATTTTTCACCTCTGACTTGCCTGCGATTCGTGGCCTGGATTTCTAACTGGAAGTCAAAGTCAGGAGGAAGGAATTCTCGCTTCAACTCCTTTTTCAATTCGGATCAATCCCTAAAATCCCCGTTATCTACCCCGTCAATGTACCATTCTTTGGCACGACCGGTGAATAAATGTATTGCCGATCTAAATAGTTCGTAATCCGAAACGTCTTCAGACTGACATCGCATTTTGACCTCCTTTAAATATTCAGCCACCTTCCTACCATCATCTTTCCCATCGTATTTAAGTCTCCATTCCGCAACTGGTATCCTTTTCATCGGTTTTCTACTCTTCTTGCTTTTCGTAAGTTTTTTTCTTATTTGAGCTTCTTCTCCTTTTCCTATCAACTTCGGAAGAGTCAAATGAGCTCAACGAACTTTGAATCTCCGAGCTTATACTCGACGACTCTGTACTGTCAGATGAATCTGGAGAGAAAGAACTTTCAGACGAATCGGAGCTTATTCTTTTCTTCTTCTTCTTCTTCTTCTTCTTGTTGATATTATCGTTCTGACTTTGTCTGTTTTTCTGTTCACTTGAATTTTTTCTCTCTTTCAGTTTATCATCCTCACTTTCTTTGTGCGAACTTTCACCTGAACTATATTTGTCTCTTCTATTCTTCGATTTATTTTTAGGTTTCGATTCTGTTTTGGATATGTTTACTTTTTTAGGTTTCCTTGGACTATCCTTTTCACTCTCAGATGATGAGGTTTCATCTGACTCAGACTCATGTTGTTTGTCCTTTTCCAACAGAGCTGCAGACTGTTTGGTGTGTCCCTGCTTTACTTTCTCATTCAGTTCTGCCAAAAGTTTTTCCAAATTTTGTTTTCGTTCAATCATTAATTCCATTTCTTTCCTCCTTTCTTCCTCTAGCTTGATTTCCTGTTCTTTCTTGCGTCTCTGTTGATCAGATGTTTGAACAACAAAATCTTTAAATGCTGTGATTAACAGCTCAACATCTTCTTCTTTTCCTTGCTCATATTCATTCAACTTATCCAAAATTTCATCAGTTCGTTTCATTGACAATTCCATTTCTTTCTTTTTCTGTTCAATAGGGTTAACTTTTCCTCCTCCAGTAGCCTGATCATTGTCTCCTTCCTCTTCCTCTCCGTCGAGATTAGCAACAGTATCGTTCAATGTTGTTATCTCGTTTCGTACCTCAACTAAAGCCTCTGTTATCTTCTTCTCTATTTGTTTCGGTTCATTTTGCTTGTCTGCCTGGTTTGGTAATAGAGGGAAATGAATGTTTATGATTCGGTCGATCTGGTTTTCGATTTTGGAAATTTTGTTCAAGTATTTGCGCGCGTCTAATGCTCTCGCTAAATGAGCAATCCTCACACGGTAATGTATTACTCGGGTTCTCATCTTCTCTTTCTGCCTCATATCAGCTTTGGGATTATCAAATATCCCACCGATAGCTTTCATTCGGGAAAGCACTATTGCAAGTTCCTCGTTTGCAGATCTCCAAGTTCTCGCGAAAGCTACAGAATTGATTCCTAAACTTCTCTCCTCATTCATCCTATCTTTTAGTTTACGACGTTTGACGCTCTCGTGATCGTCAAAGTGAAACAACATATTCCTAATCAACAGCTCGTGTTCCACTTCATCTATAGCGAGATGAGACACATTCATGTGCCTGTATTCTTATTGCAAATTCATCGTGCAGTTCCACTACCACAATCACAATTTAAAAAAAATGAACTAATTGAACTCAAATACTTTCAAGTAGCTGTTCACAAGAATCTCATGAATTGGTTAACTAATTTTCGTTGAGTCAAGACCCATTAATCAAGAAAAAATTGAATTGAAAACAACCTAGAATTTATTCGCGAGCAACTATTTTCGGGACTATTTTCACCAAATTATTTGCTCTATTCGGCGTACGCGCTCTAGTAAGCCCACAGGTATAACTATGTGTTCCGCAGAAAATGTGTCGTATTAACGAATTTGGATCCACTACCCCTTTGCACCACTTCGAGAAATTTATAGGTTATTTTTTTTTTAAATTCTGATACCCTACTCTTTTCTATCTTCCTACACTCCCTTTGTACTTCCGATCAGTGAAGCTTGTTTCTATTGGGCGCCAATTGTTAATGGCTAGCCAGATGGGCTAGTTAAAAGGGATTCCCCTAACCTCTGGTCTAGCCACGGAGATCGTCTGGGGTGGGCTACACTCGCCTCTTTTGTTGGCTAGCTCGAGCTTGAAACCCTGGAGCTTCAAGGTCGGCTCCTGGCTTGTCGACACTGATCAAAAGTACAAAACACCTCTTTATCACTTTTCACTCGTTTATTACTTACGATTTAGGTGTCTGTAGTGTGTGTGTGTAGTGCTGGCCAGCGATGACGGGATTCTGCAGCGGGTGGGGTTTTTCGGCGGTGGATGAACGGACTGCTCACGGTGGATGCCAGTACTCGACGGTTATCACCGTGTGGCACGACGGATGTTGTACTGGAAGTCGATCGGGTGATCGACGGTGGTCTCCCAGTGGTCGTCGGTATATAACCGATGGACCCTTGCTACACGGGTGTTGGCGTATTAACGGACGCCCTCGTGGTTTTAGCCCGTAATTAATGGGTACTAAAGGGAATATGAGAGGTGGTCTTAGGGTTGGGAATTCCGCTACCGGGTTATTGATGGGGTCCTACCTGACTCCGTATTCGGTGGTATTAGCCGGTATTTGTTGGTAACTCTTCACTTTTTTTTTCACAACTTAAAGCAAACTTGGCAGATCGAACTATCTCGCGCAATGGCTGAAGTGAAAGAGAACCTTCTCTTCAGTTTAACCCAGTAGCTTCCCCCTTGACCTAAGCCCATTTCCACCTCCCTCCCACTTTTCCACCACCCCTTGTCCATATCCTTCTCCTGTTTCCAACGCCCACCTTCATCCTTACTCCTTCCCGTTATGTGTTATGTGTTATGTGTTGTTGGTGTGACTGGGTTACAATTTTTAATTGGACCGTTGGTTTGGGAGTACATATTTACTTACATTCAAAACAAGACAATATTGCATACAAGAAACTGACATACATATTGAATTCACAATGAACACACATATACCCTATTCCTCGCTCTCGCTATCTCCTGATTTTTCTCGCTCGAAGTGAACCAATAGGGTACAGGAACCAAAACGGTAACACCGGTGTGGGAATCATGTGCTCAGACTCACAGGAACAAAATCCAGGTTGCTCAGAACAGAGTGCTTAGGATGATCTGATCGTCTCTTTGACACAAGAATTTCAGACCTCAACCAAGAGGCGAACATTCCAAAATTAGATTTCAAAATTGATGACATTAAGACTAGGTTTTTTTCAGAAATGCATTACATCAGAACATGCTTTGATAAGCAATTTGTATATAGTAGGTTAGGTGTATATGGTAGTTACAGGTTAATTGTAGTTATAAAAAGTAGTTATAAGTAGTCTCCTTTTTCAAATTCAAAACAAACCAATCCCACCAAGGTGGTCATACTCTAATAACAGGCCTGATTGGACTAGGAACTGTAAATAATAATTAAAAATTTCAAATGTACTAAAGTTGAAAAGACGCATCTGTGTCACTTGATAATTCATACATGTAAACCAAACAAATACAAGAAATAAAGATAATTTGAATTGAAAAAAAAAAAAAATTGTAAATAAATTATCTTTGGAATCGAAACGAAGAGTATTATTAATATAAATGTTTCCAAGCGAATTTCCATCCTACCTTTATGACATACCATTTTGTGAATAAAATAAGATTTCCATCATGGTAGAACTGTGCTATTGAAATAATTCCCCGCACCTTAATCTTAGCAAAGTCCCAAAAAATTCAACGCAAACTGCCAACCCAAGCCTTTTAAGCCGTGTCGTTTAACCTATTCCCGCGAAATTCATCTATTTTTACCCATTCAAAATACTTACTATGCTGAGGGCAGTCATAATGCAGGCACGTGTTGGCTGGGAATCGCCACTGTTGTTGACTTGTATCGATGAAACCATTGTGGGCGACTGTCCGCTACCGTTGCAGGGCGAATGACCGTTGACTTTTGCTGGCTCGGCACCATTTTCCGAATGGATGTCTTCGGTGGAGGAAGCAGTTTGCAGCCCATTGGTACTACAGCCAGCGTCGGAGTCCTGAAAGGAAGAAATTGTACAGGAAATGGAACTTAGTATACACAGGAACAACCGGTTAAGAATGTGTTTTCTCTGTTCATATGTTCCGCCACTGAGAAGAGGGTGTAGTAAATTTATGTGCGAAGGCTATCAAATTTATTCTTTCCTGTACTTGGCCGGTAAACCAACCCATCAGAATGAAAAGAGCACACCCCGCAGGCGATGTACCAACATTGATTGACTGTGCTTTGTTTCCTGCCGTGCCCAACCTATGCAGACGATCTACGGGCGACGAGCCTTCGGGAAAAGTACGAAAGTTCATACCGAGGTGATGGATTAATTAGATTAGCAAGCAAGATAATGAAATGGGGTTGTTGAAGCTTCTCTCTATTTTAAATCACGTTTCACGCTCTGGGATTCATAAAGTAAACCAGGCACAACCTTCTATATTATTGAACTGCAGCAGCATTTAGAAAACGTTCCATCTGCTTGGGCCACTCCCTTCACTTACATTCAATTTTCCCCAGAACCCAACCCCGGATTCCCTAGCATTCCTATAAAGTAAAAATTCCAAGTCCGGAAACCAACCTGAGCTCAAAAGTGGGAGTGAGAGATCGAAGAAGCGATAGCCATCCACGCCATCGTAAATCCACTCGCTGAAACTGGACTTTGTTTGCCGGTTGGAAGTCGTCCGTCCTGTGGAAAAGCGAGCGGGTTCTAATCCTCACTATTCATTGGGGCGAACCAAATAGACAAAAGGCATGAATAGCTTCCATGAAGCAACAGAAATGGACAGGAAGCCTATAAACCGTACGGAGCGGAAAAACGAACGAGGTCGGTAGGCAGTCGTCCTTCAATCGAACGTGTTTCTGGGCCCCGGATGACCAGAGATGGGTGGCGGTGGAGAACCTTTTAGGAAAATTATTTCGAATGAATAAAATATTTTTATCATTCGACTTATCTTGCTATGCTTTTTCTTTCGGGTCGGTCGGTGTTTTTCAGAGCACAAGGGCTTATGTTTGTGTTTATCACTTTCGTCGATGACGATGACGATGACGACGTGCCAAAGACTATGAAAATGCAGGGTATTTGTGGATCGGAACAGACGGATCCTGCGATGGAATGACGAACTATAGGCTGGTAATCATGACGAGGATGATGGGTGGAGGGGTAGTAGTCATAGTAATAATTCCTCACAGATACCGCAGTTTGGCTGGATTTGCAGTTTCTGGCAACGGAGCAGGAGTACACGAAGAGAAATTTGGGGAAGACGTTTCTGTGTCCGCAATTTTTCATGATCAACAGTGAGTGGTAAAAGGAACCGATTTGGTTGGAATAAGTTGTAGATATGGTGCCGACGGTATTGGGTTTGGATAAAGGTTTTCAGGGTACGGGGATAGTTACGATATAAAATTTCAAAATCAAAAGAGATTCTTGCATCTTTAATTCTTGAACTTTCGAGAGTTGAAAAGCACAAGTGGTGTAATGGACTGAATCGGTATTTTGCAAGCCGGCAAAAAGTAATTTTGCTTTAAACATTTTTTGTCGGAACTAGGGGAATTTACGTATTCTCGGCAACCTAAGCAGCGACCTTCTTTCTATAGCCTTTTTCTCTAAGGAACGCACACATATGCAGTATTGGTTTGTTTACAATCTTTTGCTGCCAGCTGCTCTAACAATTTCAGTCGAAATAATTGTCAAAAACTGTTTTGAAACGCTTTTACAAAGCTCCAATCTTCTCTAGTGAGAGCGAATATTGTCGGCAACCAGTTTTTCTTCGGCAACCGTTCCATTTGAACTGCATGTAAATCTGCTGTTCTATTATCGGCAACTCGAAATCAGCTACAATTTGTAGTGCGTGTGTTGCATTTCAAGAAAACCTTGCTAGATTGCTTTTTCTCAGTGGTAAAAATATAGTCAAATTGAAGCTGAAAGCATAAAGAATCGTTTGCATGCATTCAGCGAAGTGTTTTCGTAAGAAAATCCAGTGAAAATAGTGTTTCAATTTGGGTTGCCGAAAATAGTCTGGCATGCCGAAGCCGTCATTTCCCCTATATAACCGAGTCATTATAGATGTTGACTCTCTGAAAGCGAAATTGAAAGTTTTTGTGTGTGTCATACACGTACTTTACAACCTTTTCTTAAAAGTTACAAGTTCAATCTCTCTTGCCGTGCGGATCTATTTGTTTTTTCAGTGCTCAACCTGTACAATTTCTACCTTGGTTGACTCTTATTTCTCTTCGATCCTTGTTTGGACCCTACCCAAAGTAATCCTGCTTAACAATTGACTTGAAAAATTCCTCTTCGATCCTTCAGATTCTTAAAGAAATGTGTTTGGAAGTCGGTTTGCAAAAATTTGGCCGCCATGTTGCCTAAACGCTAAAGAAAACGCTTGATCCGATGCAATTCTTCTGATGAAATTAATTTGAGCAATCAATTTGATTTGCTCACAGATGATGAGAATGATCCATCATCCAGGAAAAATTCTAGGGAACTTTCCGGGCTTAATGTCAAAAAGGAAAATATTCCCCTTATTTTGATAACATGCTCTATGCTCCATGCTCTTCGCACGGAACTTATGAACTTCGTTAAATTTAAGTTTTCACTTCAAATCGGTCGTCGAGGTGAATGCCGTATATTGGCTGAAACCTTGGACGGATTCAAACGCCTTCTCAAGTATCTTACTGAGAAGCAGCACCAATTTTTTACTTACGACACCAAAACTGAACGTGTGTTCAAGGTTGTCATGAAAAGTCTGCCCAGTGGTGAATCCCTGGATCAGATCAAAAATGAATTGAGAAAACTACTTGGAGTTGAGCCTGTCCAAGTAATCAAAATGAAAATGAAATCTCGTTCTGGCGATTCACGCAACGGGATTTCTAATGACTTCAAGTCTAGTTACTTAAACAGCCTTAAGGCCGTAGAAAAAGCTAGCCTTATGCTCCATGTCCGAGTGAAGTGGGTGCACTGCAGGAAGACTGGAGGAAATTTTCAAAACCTCACCCAGTGCCGTAAGTGCCAGGGATGGGGTCACGGAGCAAAAAATTGCTACATGCCAGCTAAATGCAAGAACTGTCGTGATTCCTCTCACACTAAGGATGACTGTCATGTGAAGGAAGATCCTAAAAAATTTAAATGTTCAAATTGTGGTGAAAACTACAAATCCAATTCTGGAAACGTAAGACTCGCAAAGCGATCCTACAATCTCGTTCTAAGCGAAAGGTTCCCGCCCAATAACAATTTTGGTTTTGTGAGGGTTCTGTAGACCATGATTTAGACTTGTAGCATGCTTTAAAACCACTTTAAAACTTGCAATGTTACTTGGGCGGCCACGTACTAATTTCTCTGTTGTTAACAACGGTCAGCGAGGAACAAATTCTACATTTGTGCCCGTAGGTACACACAGCTCTCCTGCTTCAAATTCTTTATCTATACCTGCTCCATCGCTGCTAACAACGTTCAGCGAGAAAATGGAGGTACCTATGCTGCTACTGCTGTGTGTGGAAATCAAAATTCTGACGCAAATTTTGATGATTTTGACTTTGGTAGCATTACTGCTCCTAAATTTGAATTTTTACAGAAATCACAATTGACATTATTACTGATATGCTGAAAATTAACTCCATGTTTGATGCAATTCAAACTGGAGTAAAATTTGCGAACAATATTGTCATGACTTTGAAATTCAGAAATGGTTTTTAAATTATTAAATTTCTTTTTTTCATTATCGAAGACGAGCTATTTAACTTTCTGTGAGATCATAACGTGTATATTGCTGTTATAACTGAAACGTTCCTTAAACCTGACCATAAGGTTAAAAGGGACGCAAATTATTCCATTTATCGAAATGATCTCCTTGATGGAGCGGGTGGTGACGTTGCCATCATTGTTCATAGGCGTATCTAATATCAAATTCTTTCTTCGTTAGAAGCCAAAGTTTTTGAAACTTTAGTAGTTTCTGCCGAAACAAACAACTTACGTTCAAAGCTGCCTATTTGACATTCCAATGCGTAGGCCAGTAAAACAACTTTATCAAGGTGATCTTCAGAAACTATCCCGTCATAGGTCTAAATTTTTATTTATTGGTAATTTTAAAGCAAAACACCACTCATGGAATAATGCTTAAAGTAGTTCCAATGGTAATATTCTGCTTGATGATTGATCTGCAGGTTTTTACACTATTCAATATACAAACAGCCCAACACGTTTTTTTTCAGCAAGAAATCCCTCAACTATTGATTTGGTCTTAACTGATTAATGTCAACTTTGTAGCCAATTGGTTACTCATGATGATTTCGGTTCTGATTACCTTGCAGTAACTTTTGAAATATCCCTAGACATAATTTCTAGGAATCAACAGCTCTACTCTCAACAGTGACCAAAGAGCTGATTGGAAGTAATATTGAACATTCATGGAATATAGCTTCGATCCAAATATTCCTTTGCAAACCAAAGATGATGTTAATTATAATCTTGAATCTCTGACTACTTATATAGTTGAAGCATGAGCTGCCTCAGTACCAAAATGCGAGGTTAAATTCGATTCAATTATAATAGACGACGATCTTCAGTTCTTGATCCGTCTGAAAAATGTCCATTGGAGGCAACATCAAAGAACACGCGATCCTCTCATGAATGATACCTGACGGAATTTGCAATAACAAATTAAAAAGCGATTCTCAGAACTGAGGAACAAAAGTTTCGAAAATACTACTTTTTGATGATTCTTGGGAGACTGATTTGGACAAATAAAGATCTATAACTGAAACAAATTCAAAATATAAAAGCTTCAGGTGATGCTGAAATTTTCTATATCCTCATCAAAGAAACTCCCAGAGAGAACCTTGAAGAACGATGCTTATTATCAATACCAACTCGATTTTTGCAGATGAGCAGTTTGGATTTCGCCATGGGCGTTCAAACAAATCTTAAGGCTGGTCAACTGGATGGACTTGCTATTCTAGATATAAAAAAGCTATCGACAGTGTTTGGCATGAAGATTTGATTGCTAAATTGTTAAA